GGAAGCTTACAGCACCATTATATTCTTATGGGACCTCTGTTGTATACATGGTGTGATCCATTTGGCCAAACAGTGTTATACGATTCATGGCTATGCAATATAAATCCTTAGAGACATATCGCTTCAGAGATGCATGAACCTTTAAATTAGGTTCATGCTAATGAAACTTAGCTTTTTTTTATTTTAGCTAAATTTCTTTAAAGAGAGCAAGGGTTATTTGTCTCTACAGCAGCATTCCAGGGCAGGCAGATTTATTTTTTTCCTTGAGGTTATCCAAGAACGGTTGTTTTGGTTACATCTCCAGACATTTGGGACAGGAAGAATTCCAGTGCAAGCATCTTCTAACAGGTTACATCATGGCAGCTCAATGCCATCGTCCCATCTTTAGGCATGCTTTAGCCATTCCTCCTGCTGCAGGGGAAGCTGAGCACCGTGACTAAGTCATGTGGTCGCATGCTTAGGTAGAATGATCTGGACGCATATTAAGGTTCCGGGGCCCAAGTGGCTATTAGAATGCCTTCTCCTGGGCAGGGACATAGACAGTGTCTGCTCTTCCCCCTGAGCTCTCAGTGACAAACGGAGATACGAGTCTACCAAAATTCACAACACCAAAGTTTACCAGGGAGAACCAATAAGTTTATTAGGCTTATTTACAGAACAATAGGCAATGAGTAGGAAGATCAGCAACCCTGAAGTAGCCACTCTGGAAAGTCTCCACTCTGCAGAGACAGTGGCTTTCCCATGGGGGCTTAGACGGAACCCACTTTCTCTCATCTTTCCCTGTCTATATACTCTAACTCTTCCCAGAGACCCCAAGGCCATGCGCAATTGGTGTAAAATTGAGTATAATTGGTTGGGAAGTGTGGTTGAAGACTCAGGGTCCTATGACAATAGGACCTATGACAATCCCCACCCTGTCCTTTCAAGAGGGAATGGCAACAGTCAACAAACCCAGCTATGATGATCTTTGGTGAGCAGGACCACACGGATTTCTGAAGACGGTGTTCGTTTGGCTCAGAGAATAGTCCTGTACTGCCCTCTGCTACAAGAGTAAAACTATAAAGCCAGAAAGGAAAAGAAATAAGGAAGGATACACAGAAAGCTTCAATTGTGATGTTTTAAAAAAAAAATGAATGCACATTTATCAAAATGTTAGAATTTCATAAATCTGGGTAATGAATGAGGGTTTCCATTATATTATTATTTGTACTTTCTGTGGCTTTGAAGTGTGTCATAATATAAATGAACAAATGTCATTTGAACACCTTCAATAAGTGAATAATACACAGAAGGTTAAGTAAATAGATGAAAATGCTTACAGGATTGATAGCTATGGTCGCCTCATAATACATCTGCCATCTAGATTTGCTGATTACCAAATTGTAACAAATCACCAAAGCAGGCATTGTACTTTCCAGACAAAGGTCTATACCTATTTAAAACACAATACTAAAACCCGTCTAAAGTCTTGATATTTTAAGGCCCTCGACGAGCTCCTGAAGCTTACCTTTTCAGTGAACCGAGGAAGCTGAAGCTACACAAAAGTCACTACCCAGTCTTACCCAGTCTGCCATTAGCTTTATGTCTTTTCTTTTCCTTTTTGGTTTCCTGAGACAGGGATTTTCTGTAGCTTTGGAACCTGACCTGGAACTAGCTCTTGCAGACCAGCCTGGCCTTGAACTCACAGAGAATCGCCTGCCTCTGCCTCCCAAGTGTTGGGATTAAAGGCATGCACCACTACCGCCTGGCTGGCTTTATGTCTTTTGTGAGATGCAGTTGTTTAGAAACTCTGCATGCAAGGAGGCTTAGATGAGGAGCAGAGCGCTGGTGAGCTTTTCGTCAACTTGACACACGCTAGGATCGTCTGGGAAGAGGGAACTACAGTTGAGAAAATGCCTCCACCAGATTACTCTGTGGGCAAGTCTGCTGAGCATTTTCTTGATTAATGATTAATGTGGTATGGCCCAGCCTAGTGTGGGCAATGCCAACCCTGGATAGGTGGTCACAGGTTATATAAGAAGGAGGCTGAATGAGGAAACAGCTTTGCTCTATGGTCTCCTGGTCAGTGCCTTGATTTCCTGCCTTTGTTTCCCTCAGTGACAGTTGATAGCCAATAAGCTAAGAAAAACCCTTTCTCTCCAAGTTGCTTTTGGTCATCTTATCTTATCACAGTAATAGAAACAAAACTGTAACAAGGATCATGTGACTTATTAAGAATAACCCAGTCAAACCCATGTATCATTTTCTCTGGATCCAAGTGATAAGTTTGATTAAAAAGCAAGATTTATATAGTTTTATCATCAGTGCTGAGTTTCAAATAAGAAATCAATAGGCTGGGAGGAAAGAATATGTAGCACTGTTAATAAAATCCGAGACAGATATTGGGGTTCAACCTGGAGACCAGAAAAGCCAAGCAGCCAGCCACTGCCCCTACCTTAACCTCAGTCCAAAAATCGTGACCCTGCCTCCAGGAGTCTCAGAATGAGACTGAGATTGAGAGCTGTCTCCTCCCGTTTTATGATCCTCTCTAGTTCTGGGATTAAGGGTGTGCACCACTACCACCTGATTTCTATGAAAAGCTAGTGTGGCTACTGGATTAAAGGTACATGTCGTTGCTGCCTGGTCTATAAGGCTGACCAGTGTGGCTGTTTAACTTTTCTGATCCTCAGGCAAGCTTTATTTATTAAAATACAAATGAAATGCCACTACAAGTATATGTGCTTATTTTATTATATTGCAATCAGTGAAAATGTAAGCTCTTCTAGCATCTACAAATTTTAATTATGAACGTACTTATTTATATTTAGAACAATATAAAAATCAGATAGAAGCTTTATTTTTAAATACCAACAGAAGCCGTGTTAAGTGCTGTTGTGCAAGCAATTGTCTCAACTTATTAACATAGCGTATTAAAATCTGTGTAAACAAACACATTACCGGATATCATGTGATTGTGTGTTTATAATGAACAGTATGGAGGCAGGCTACTCTAAGGTCTATTTTCTGTAGTGCTATTGATTTCCCAGTTCTTCAGTTTTTTAAATAGGGATATATATTCTCTACTTCAATGAGAAATTACACGCAAATTATTAGGATTCTATGATTCTGGGGGGCGGTGGGCTATTGTTCTGTGTGACAGCTTTTCCAGAATATGCATGAGGTTCTGGATTTAGTCCCCAGAACTAGGGTGGGGTGAATTCTGGGCTCACATGGGTTCTATCCTTGCCATCACCAAAATAGAAAGCAAAAATGTATGTGAGAAAAAGACAGAGAGTGAGAGAGAGAGAAAATACGAACTCAAGGCTCAGTGAAAAACTGATCTTTAAAGAAATGATAAAGAGATTAATTCATCTATAATTCTTTCATTTGTACAGGATAATTAATGTGATAACTTAAGCATAATGGATGAGATGGTGTCAATATTATGGAACATGTTCTTAACTATGTAGTCTTAAAATGGTGTTGCTGACGGTACGTTCTTGGGATGAGGACTAATTCATTAGTCTGTGGTTCAGAAGACATTTTTAGCAATATGAGAAAAATCTTACATGTACTGAATCTAAAAGATACCTTGTTGTTCATATTATCACTCCACCCCCTCTTGGGCTGGTCTCAGGAAGCTCGGCCCAGTGCTTCGCTGTGGATCTCTTTATCAGCTTCCATCAGTTGCTGGATGAGGGTTCAATGATGACAATTAAGGCAGTCATCAGTCTGGTTACAAGGGAAGGCCAGTTCAGGCAACCTCTCCACTATTGCTTAGGGTCTTAGCTTGGGGTCATCCTTGTGGATTCCCGGGAATTTCCCTAGTGTCAGGTTTCTCTCTAGCCACAAAATGGCTCCCTCCATCAAGATATCTCTTCCCTTGCTCTCTCTGTTCTTTCCCCATCTCAACCATCCCATTCCTTCATGTTCTCCTCCTTCCTCCCTTTCTCCCCTCACCCTTTCCTTCTGCCCTCCCTTCTCCCCGCTCCACTCCCAATTTTCTCAGGAGATCTTGTCTAATTCCGCTTCCCAGGGGAATCCATGTATGTCTCTCTTAGGGTACTCCTTACCTTCTCTGGGGTCGTGGACTACAGGCTGGTTATCCTTTGCGTTACATCTAATATCCTCTTATGAGTGAGTCCATACCATGTTTGTCTTTCTGGGTCTGGGTTACCTCACTCAAGATTTTTTTTTCTTGCATGCACATTTCAAAATGTTATTGTTTTTTACTGCTGAGTAGTACTCTGTTATGTAAATGTACCACATTTTCTTTATCCATTCTTCAGTTGGGGGGCACCTAGGTTGCTTTCAGGTGGCTATTACATTTCCTGCTGCTATGAACACAGTATGAGCAAAGGGGCCATGACCATAATAGTGATACTCACAGAAACAACTGACCTGAGCTAGTGAGAGCTCACTGACTCTAGACTTATTGGGGGGGGGGGAGCCTATATAGGACCAAACGAGGCCCACTGAATGTGGGTGACAGTTGTGTGTCTTGGGCAGTGTGTGGGGTCACTGACACTGAGACCAGGATTTATCCTGAGTTCTTGAACCGGCATTTTGGAGTCCATTCTTTTGGAGGGACACCTTGCTCAGCCTAGATGCAGGGGGAGGGCCTCAGTCCTGCCTCAAAGTGGTGTGTCAGTCTTTGCTGACTCCCCATGGGAAACCTTACCCTCTCTGAGGAGTGGATGGTGGGCTGGGGTTGGGAGAAGGTGGGAGCAGGAGGAGGGGAAGAAGTGGGAACTGGGATAGATATGTAAAATGAGAAAAGGCTGATTTTTAAAAAATAAATTTAATATTTAAAAAATAGCTTTTTGTTACTTTTTCTACAACTCATGCTTATTGCATCTCTTTAAAATTACTTGAAATTTTAAAAACCGGTGTGTCCCCACTGTTGGCTTGAGAAAATAGCAAATAAAATCCAAAAGTCATGAACTCAAACCCTTACAGTGAGAATCATCTATTTAATGTAATAATCATTTATTTAAAGATGATGGTGTGTATTTATTCAGTCTTTAATATTCAGAGAAGCTTTTCATTCAAGAGGAACAAAGATTATCATTTCCATGCTTCAGATAAGGAAACTGAGGCCCAGATGAAAGAGTCATCTAGCCAAAGCCACACAACTAGACGGGTGAGGTGCAAACTGAACACCAGTCTTCCAAGGCTACCCCAGCTCTTTCCATAGCTTCTTGCACAGAGGTGAGATGTATGCTGGTTTGAAATTAAAATTGAAACCATGATTGTATCATTCAAAATGAAGTTATTCATGCTTTTCAATTCGATTGAAGCTGGATGATCCTGAGGATACAGAGAAACAAGAGAATCATTCAGACCTAAACTTTATCTTTAAGCCTAGAGATCTTAATCTCCCTTGCTCTTACTCTGTTGCTTTCCCGCTCTCCACAGGCTGGGGGTGGGGGAGGGAAAGGTTAATATTTTGTTGCTACATCATTTAAATGTGAAAGAGGAAATGGAAGGCATAAATGAAAATCTTGATTCAGAAGGTATGTTCTACTGCCTGATGAACTACCCCATAGTTCTATGTGACTATTTAAATTTATTTTAATTTACATTTTTAGGTAAGTATGTACTGCATCTGTGGGGGGGAGGGATATGTGTGCCACAGCACAGTGTATGTGGAAATCTAAGGTTCTCCACCATGTGGGTAACAGGGATGGAACTCCATGCCTGTATCCACTGAGCTGCCTCTTCTGCTTCTAAGGTGTAGTTCATGCTGGCCTTGAACTTACGATCCCCTTGCCCCTGTCTCTTCAGTATCTCTGACCAGTGTGGTCACAACAAGCAATTTCATTTAAATTAAAAACTTACTTCCTTCATTTCATTGGTCACCATCCAAATTCTCAATCACCACAACACCTAGTGCTTATAACATAGAGTAACGTAATTAGAAAACATTAAAACATTTCTACTATTGTAGGAAATGGATTGGATAGTAGTATTAGAGCTTGTTTTTGTTTCTTCTTTATCTCCAAAAGGACTTTTTCTTTTTTCTTTTTCTTTTTTTTTTGTTTGTTTTTTCAAAACAGGATGTTTCTGTGTAGCTCTGGAGCCTGTCCTAGAACTCACTCTGTAGACCAGGCTGGCCTCAAACTCACAAAGATCTGCCTGCCTTTGCTTCCTGATTGCTGGGATTAAAGGCATGTGCCACCATTGCCCACCTCCATAAGGACTCTTAGTAGAATTAAAAGTGGGAAAAATTAAAACTATGAATCCTCTACAATAAGAAATACCTAGGTATGTATATTGAATAATTACCTTGAAGAGCAAATTATTTCATATATAACAGCTGGTCAAGTAAGGGATCAGAGAGGAACCTATGTAGATGGATTTTTCTTTGGATTGCCAGCTCATAAAAATGACACAGAAGCTTATTATTAAGTATAAACAATCCGCCTATAGCTTAGACTTGTCCCACTAGCTCTTAGAAGTTAAATGAACTCATCTCCAGTCATCTATGCATTGCCACATGTCTCATGGCTATTACCTGTCTTCCTGCATGTCTTGCTCCATCTCCATCTGACTGGCGACTCTGACTTTCTTCTTCCCAGAGTTCTCTCTCTGCCCCAAAGTCTCACCTATACCTCCTGTCTAGCTATTGGCCAGTCAGCTTTTTATTACACCAACCACAGCAGTACATTTTCACAGAGTGTGCAGAAATATTCTGCAATAGATCTATCTTAAATTTAACGGAGCTATATTGGATGTGCACTGCAAAAAAGGTCAGAGTCTAATTTTGAGACAGAAATTTAGCATGATGATAAAAACTTAAAATAGTACATTTTACCTTATAATTAAAAGCAGAAAAGAAAGTGGGCAATGATAATTAATATAAGTATTTTTTGCTGTTCTGAGGGCTCACAGCAAGACCAGCATAGCAAATCAGACAACTATTCTCAGCGACACAAGCAGGACACTATTGGAATTGTGGCAAGTTTGCCTTACCATTTTATAATAGAAATTAGACATTCAGAATAGAAAGTATAAAATTATAGAACAGAATGTGTCTTTTATAGCAAGCAAATCAACCATGACTTAAAGTCCAGGAAATGGAATGTGTTTTTAGCCTGTTTCTGAAGACATATGGCTCACATCCTAAACCCTGTTTCCAAGCCAGCTGCCATGCTCAAAACCCAGCGAGCAATTTCAGGCAAAAGCTCTCTTGATTGTGTGCTGTTTGTTTCACACTCTGATCATATACACCTAAGCTACATAAAAGCCCAAGGACTCGATTGGGCACTGTAGCATGAGGCCACATCAAGGGTGGGCTATCACCTCTTCTAGGTAGCCTTCCAAAACAAGCAGTGCCTGAAAACTCATCCAGCCTTCATGTCATTATTCCAGTGACAGGAAGAGAGGCATGGTCCACGTGCCAAGTGGGTAGAGGGGCAGAGGAAAGGTGGAGAACATGGCTCCAATTCAGGGTGCAATTTACATCCTTGAACCTTGCAGGTTCCTCCCCTTCCAGGGCAGAGGAAGAGGGAAGAAAAGGACTTGCTTCTTCTTTCTTTTCTTTTTTTCTTTTTTTGATCATTAGGAAAGACAGACAAAATATATTTATTTCCAAAACATCTCTGAAGTCAAATGTAATAACCATAGATGATCCATATTTTTAGAAGAGTTTGTGAACGGCTTATCTGAATCTTGCCAGCAGGAAGGAGTCGGCTGGCAATCTAAAGATAGGTGGCAAACTGGCAGATGTGACTTGAAGTGTTCTCGAGACACAGCAGGAAGAGGAGAGGTGGAGGAAGGGGGGGGGGAAGCAAAGGCTCCCGGAACAGGCAGACCTGAAATCACACGGAGCCTGGGTCTCACGCAGGCTCTGCAGAAGGATTAATGATGCCTAATCAGATGCCTCGCTTCATCTGCAGCTTGTCTAGGGATAAAGAAAGCCACCTTGTTGGAAAACAGAGAAAATGAAAATCAATAAAGAGAATTTTTAGGAAATTCCAAGTTACCTCTGTTTGGGATCCAAAGGAAAGAATATCAAAACTCCAAAGTAACTAACTCTTATTAAAACAACAGTTTTACGAACTCACTGACAAATTACTACGAGGTTGAGAAGGATAAGATAAAAAATCATGGTGACTACAGCCTAACATCTGCACACAACTGACACAGACTGCAATCACATTCAAGAGCCTAATCACTGAGCATCCTCATGGCCATCTAGTCTACCATGTGGTGTGTATGGAGGATGAGGCTGTGGGAGAGCAAGAACTGCCTAGTCTTTTCTGAAACTGGGTATGCTGGCTACTCTTATCTCATCTTGTCACAAGCTTCTGAGAGAAGGGAACCTCAGCTGAGAAAATGCCTTCCAAAAAAACCTGTCTGCAATCAAGCATGTAGGGCATTTTCTTAATTAGTGATTGATGGGGAAGGGCCAGACCATTATGGGTGGGGCTGGTTTTGGGTTCTAGAAGACTGAGTAAGCCATGAGGAACAAACCAGTGAGTGCCCCTCCTTCAAGGACTCAGCATCAGCTCCTGCCTCCAGGTTCCTGCCCTGTTTGAGTTCCTGTCCTTCCTTGCTTCGGTGAAGGACTGTAATATAGAACTGTAAGCTGAAATAAGCCCTTTCCTCCCCAAGCTGCATTGGTCATCGTGTTTCATCACAGCAACAGAAACCCTAAGACATTGGTATTACTAAGAATCAGGCTTACTGATCCCACATCTGCCTCACTTATACTAACCTCGCAGAAAGATGAATGGACAACATCACAAATACAAAGACAAAGTTATAGGCTAAGAAACGAAGAGCCATTCTTCAGAAAATATCCCAACTCCAGGTTTAGTACTAGGGCCTTTAGAAAAACAGGGCAAAACAATGAAACCTTTGAACAGTTTTCTATAACAAACTACCGGAAGCCATCTATTTTAAAGGAAGAAAGGTTTTTCAAAGGCTCGCAGCTTGAGATGTTTTAGTTCATGATTATCTCATGCTGTTGTATGGACCAATGGAAGTTCAGTACATCATGGTAAGTAGCATGTAGTGGAAGAAGCTTGTTCATGCCATGATAGAGGACAAGAAGGAGCCAGGATTCCCATATCATCCCCATCAAGGTTACAGCCCCAGTGACCTAACTTCCTTCCCTTAAACCCTACCTCCTGAAGGTCAAACCACCTCCCTATAGTGTCAAAGGCTGGGGTTAGACCTGCAAAGCATGGTATCTTTAAGAGACATTCAAGATCCTACTACAACATTTCATAAAGACCAGGCAAGGCAGCCTTTGATTTTTATTTTTGTGGTCTTAGAGTTTGTCTTTGGGGCAAAAGAATTTTTCAGGAGATCTTTTGAAGACCTGGAATTTGTGGCAATTTTGAATCTTCTATTCTGAAGGATGCTATTTTCTTTTTTATCTTGGCATGGGGAGGTGGTAGGAGCTCTCTTCACAGGATTAGGGGATATGCTCAGGGCTCCATCATGCTAGGCAAGCACTTTACCAACTGAACTACATCACCACCCCAATAGTGCTGTTTTCTTAAAGATACAAGGATAGAAAAAGTAGAGTACAAGCTGTTCAACATTGATTCTAGATTTGAGTCAAAAAAGGACACCTCTGCATGTCTTCCTAAATTGTCATAGCTGCATGTTTCAGCTGTTTGACATTTGACCCCTTATATGGATTTATGTGTTCTAGCCTCTGAATCTTGATGAGAGACAAAATGTTCCTTTCCAATCCAGAGCCGAATGCTCTCTTTTTTAGTCTTTCTTGTGGGTAGGATGAAATGCACTCAAACTCTACTTTGACTCAAGAATGAGTATCAGAAGCTGAAACTGTGTGCCATCCAAGCCAAAAGTCACTTAGGTTGTGGGTCTAACAACAATGCCTATTTCTCACTGGCATTGACCAATATTCAAGGTGCTACTTCTGGGCAATGGACCTTTAGGAGATTGGCTTAGCTCTAGATGTTAGATGCTGCTGTTATCTATCTATCTATCTATCTATCTATCTATCTATCTATCTATCTATCTATCTATCTATCTATCTACTATCTATCATCTGTCTATCACCTATCTACTTATCTATCTACCTACCTATATAATTTCTATCTATCTATCTGTCTGTCTGTCTGTCTGTCTATCTGTCTATCTATTTATCTATTTATCTATCTTCTATCATCTATCACCTATCTCTATCTCTGATTTTTTTTGAGACAGGGTTTCCCTGTGTTCCTTTGACTGTCCTGGAACTCACTCTGTAGACCAGGCTGGCCTTGAGCTCACAATATCCACCTGTCTCTGCCTTCTGAGTGCTGGAAGTAAAGGTGTACATCACCACCACCGAGCTCTTTGTGTGTCTCTAAGTTTGATTCTCTTGTCTTTCTAGAGACTCTGAGAGGTACCCCATATTCTTTATTGTATTCATTTGGCGCTATCCTTAGCAAAGCTGATTTCTTCTGGTTGTAACTGAGAATCCCAATCTACCAGAAAAGTCAATTATTCAACATGCCTGCCCTATTGAAAATCAAATGTTCTGCTCTGGTGCTGTTATTGGTGATCACATCATAGTGGTATAGAGTGTGAAGAATGAAGAATTGTGCACACATATACTGAACAACCTCCCTTTTAAGGTCACCTGTTAAAATCTAACTGTTCATTTCTCTGGATTAACCTTTCTGTCATATTTGAGACTTTGGACTACTATCTCAGCAGTGGTAGGTTTTAACTTTCGTTTTAAGTGAAATGAGAAATTCCCAGAGATAAGTAAAGCAGACCTAAGCAGGTATCTATGATCAGACTATTGGGTTATGAGACAATTAGGCTTATGAGAACCACATCCTAGCAAGAGAATTATTAACTTGAGGGTCTCATTAGATGATAGCATTACTGAGAACCAGTTTAATAGGAAGGGGATCCTCGTTGGTGGAAGTAGGTCACTGGGGAGGAGTGTCCTTCCTTGGTGGTTATATCCTGTCTGGCCCTGTCCTGTGTTCCCTTTCTCTACTTTCTGTCCTTTGTGATGTCGATCGCTCTACTTCCTGGCCACCATGATGAACTGAACCCAAAATATAATCTTTCTTCCTTACATTGTTCCCTCAGGTATTTGGGTCACAGTAAAGTAAGGACTTCCATCCAGAGAGAACTTCTACTCTCCTTAGACATCTAGGAGGTTAAAAACTGAACAGAATCATTGTTGTATTCTCAGAGCACTTCATTCCACATGGCATGTGTCACTCAATGAAATGTCAACACATAAATGAATGAGTACATATTATCAGCTAAGAAATAAACCACATAGGAAATGTCGGTCAAAAAATAATAAAGAGTTGTAATAATTCATTTTATGAGACCTGATTTAATCATAGTGATTAATAGTGTGCAAGCAAATTATATCAGTTAAGGCAAATATTATAATTTAAGCACATCATCAGTGAGCTTGGTCTGTTTGTTGCCATGTTGATTAATCCAGTAAAATCAAGGCTAAAAAGAAAATAGAGGAGCTGCAATTCATGTGGCTGCCAGATCCCAAGGAACTTCAAAAGTCCTGTGGCTACAGTTAACGATACTGACCTTTACCTCAAAAATTCCAAAGTTAACGATACCATCATTCATTCTTTAGTCTTCAAAGGTCACCAGATTGATTTTTTATCACATAAAAAGCAAAATCTGAAATTACAAAAGGGAGTTTTACCTAGACAGATATACCCAAACTCTGTTAATTTATAATTAAATAATACTTGTATCAGGACTGGAGAGATGGCTCGGAAGTTACAAACATTGGCTGCTCTTCCAGAGACAGAGGTTCAATTCACAGAACCCACATGGCCACTCACAACTGTCTGTGACTCTAGTTCCAGGGGATCCAATGCCCTCTTTTGCCCCCAACAGGCACTGCACGCACATAGTGAACAGACATGCACGCAAACACTCATACACACATTTAGAAATCCCCCCAAAAAAACCCTCATATCAAGATCAGACTTGTCCCAATATAACCAGATATGAATCTCGTGGGCATCAATTTATCAGAAATGGATGTTGAAGAGCTTTAGCCAGTGGACCAAAAACAGCTCATCATTTGATTGTACAACTACAGTTTGTTGAATAAAACTATGTCCATCTGTTTAGGTACTGTCCACGTGTGACTGCTTTTGCAATGTTGCAATGAGTCAAGTAGCTAGGGAACAGAGCTCACAATGAACTTAAAGGAGATAATATTTAATATTTCTTCTTCTTCTTCTTCTTCTTCTTCTTCTTCTTCTTCTTCTTCTTCTTTTCTTCTTCTTCTTCTTCTTCTTCTTCTTCTTCTTCTTCTTCTTCTTCTT